AGGCGGCGGGCTTCTCAGAAGGCAGGAGAGGCTTGCCGAGCCTTGGGGGAAGTCAGGAGGGGAAAATACACACCGACACAAATAAATCGTCGATCCCAAGGAACATGTGGGAAACCCTGAGCAGTGGAGGGGAAGACGACCATCCAGGAACTGTGGAAAACATGGGGAACCCTGGGACTTGTGTCTGCTTATTTGTGCGTCCCCGGGCCTCCTTCAGGAAGGCCCGACGGCCAGCCTGGGCTCGCCGCCGAACCATGCCGCACGTCTTCGCGTGCGAGGGGGTCCGGTCGACGGGCGTCAGTGGCCGTCTCGTGCAGCAGTTCGCCCCGCCGTCACGGCGGATGCCACGTCGAGAGTTGCCGCGGCCTGCACCTCGAGCGCGACGGCGCAGAGGTTTGCCAGGCGTCTCGCCGCGGGAGGTGGAGCCTCGTCTGCAAGAGGCGTGGCGAGGCAGTCTGCAAGCCCCTGTGGCCGTTGCTGGAGTGTGGGGTCAGAGCCTGGATGCGGGGGCACAGGGAGTACGAGCGAGGAAGGTAAGCAATGCCACATACAGTCACCAAGCGGTTCGAGCACAGGTCGGGATCAAGACAAAAGTACGGGCGCCCCACGAGAGCAAGTATCGAAGATTTGTTTAAGACTACATAAACATGAACTCTCGGAGGTCCGCACGGAGTTCTTGGATCCGCGCTGGGCCCCCCTGGCGGCGCCTCCGGCGCTGCCCCTGGCGCGCCCCGCGCGCCAGGGAGGGGGGCCCAGCGCAGACCCGAGAAATCCGCGGGCGCGGGCGACAGTTTATGCTCGTCCGGCTTTCTGCCCCCCTGTAGCCCTAGTCTTTGGACGCCCGAAATGGGTACGGAAAGAACGGGTGCAATGCCCGAAAACAAATGTTGTCCCAAACCAACAGCGGCCGCTGTTGGGCGGGCGGCCTTCTGTCTCGAATGGACACACGGGCCGCGGCGGCGCGGACAGCGAGTCCTGTTCAAAACGAGCAGAACCGCTGCTGAGCATCGTACCCATTCTTTAAAGAATGGGTCAGAATTCTGCCGTGCCCATATTTCGCGTGATGATCTCTTTCGCGTGATGATCTTTCTGTGTGAAGAACAGGAACGGAAAGATCTCTTTCCGTGCCCATCCTCCGTTCGTGCAGCTGGCCAGCTCCACGCTGGAAGGCGACGCGCTCCCCCCCTGACGTGCCGTGGCGGGTGCGGGCCCCCGCGCGACCTCGCGGCCGCCGCCGGCGGCGGCGGCGGCCAGCGGGCGAGGTGGCGCTCTTCGGGGCGCCGGCCTCGGCGGCTGCGCGCCTCCGCGGGTGTCGGCGGGGGTCGGCGGGGCGCGGCGGCCGCGCCGAGGCTCGGGGGAGTTCTGCGCGGCCGCCGCCCGGAGGAGCGACGTTCTCGGGCCTCCACGGGCGGTGAGCACGGATGGGTTCGGGCACCCCCTGGGCCAGGACGTCTCCACGTCCACCGCGCGCCGGGTCCCCCTCCCCCTCCTCCCCCTCCTCCCCCTCCTCCTCCTCCTCCTCCCCCTCCTCCTCCTCCTCCTCCTCCTCCTCCTCCTCCTCCTCCCGTCCTCCTTTTCCTCCCCCCGATTACTGCCGTATCCATATCCACATCCACTTCCCAGGCGGTGGGCACGGATGCACGGATAAACCCCCGCCTCGCATCTCCGCAGGTGCGAAGATCAGCGCCAGCATTGCTCGCCTTCCCTTTCTTGCGCACCCTCTTTTTGAGTTGATCGGGTTCTGAGTGCTATGCTTGTAGCATTGTTTGATAAAAGAGAGCCGGTAGCGGTCCGACTTAGGCGCAAGCGGCAACATATGTTATGTTGCGGGTCAGTGCCGAAGATTTTGAGCCAGATAGAACTGGCAAAAGGCTCCTCCTCCTCCTCCTCCTCCTCCTCCTCCTCCTCCTCCTCCTCCTCTTGAGCATTTGTTATGCCTGTCTGGACGCAGCTCTTCCTGTGATTCGTTCCACGAATGTACGAATCATCTCCCGTTGCACCTGGTTGCTGGGATTGCGTTTACCATACGCCTGCTCTTTTAGAGGACCGCCCCACAGGGGCAGGAATTCGGATCGCATCGCATCGCATGAATCACACGACAAAAAGGTGTTGCCCTTAGCAGATGCAAACGACCGTCGCTCGTTCCCTTACCCTGGCTTCCAGAGTCCTTGTCGCTCTTCCCTCCTGGCAGGCCTGGGGGGGGTCAGCCCATGAGCCCCCGACTGGGATTGATAAGCCGCCAGTGCCTTTGCCCTCGGCGATCGTGTAAGAGCCTTCACCATCGTCCCCAGCAAGTTGGCCATGACAGAATTCGCGTGCTCGTGGTACTCTCTCTCTCTCTAGTGTTGTTTTTTTTTGTATTTTCTGTTTTTTTGTCTCCCTCTCTGTCTCTCTTTCTCCAAGAACTCCGAGCAGAGATTACCCACATCCATGATGTTGACATTGATGCTTTGGGCGTGCTTCATCTGCGCGCAGTCCCCTGCATCATTGGGGTCACACTCCGCTAGCCTTGGCCTTACCGCAGTCGTCTTGACCATGCTTCACAAGAGGTTCTCCAAGGCCGTTGGCCTTCAGGTGGAAGGGAGATCGATGCCACGTGTTGCCGATCAGCATCTCCCATGTCTCACCCCTTTCTTTCACCCGGCCCTGCTCTATTCTCTGGTCGTCTGCCCCCCCTTCAACACTCCTCGCCTCCATTCCCCTTCCCATCCCCCCCTCTTCATCTGGGGTCCCATTTCCGTCTCCCTGCCTGCCTGCATCCATCCCTCCTTCTGCGGGAGGTTGACAGGGACACGGTGTGGAAGCGCGAGCAGATCAAGTTGCTGGAGCCCGCCTCCCAAACTCCTACTCTCCGTCGGCGGCTGGGCAAAATGTCACCGCCCAAGTGTCGGAGCTGGAATCCGTTCCAGAAATTTAGTATTATCCAATTGTGATTGTCGCCCCTGATCCCCTCACGCCAAGCTCTACAGTGCTTAATTAAGAACGCTTGTGCTTTAATAGTGTGTTTGCCGATCTAGTTTACGGACCGATGTATTTCCATTATTGTGAAGGCCTTACGGCTGGTGCCACCGACCCCGAAAACGACGACGATGACGACGAGGAGGAGGAGGACGGGGAGGAGGAGCAGGAGGAGGAGGAGGAGGAGGAGGAGGCGGAGGACGCGGTGGACAGCAGGAGGGGAGGAGGAGGATGCGGAGGAGGTTGAGGAGGGGTAGCAGGGGCAGGGGGAGGATGGGGAGAGGGGGAACGGACAGGCTAGGTGCTCTTCCTCCTCCTCCTCCGCCTCCTCCGCCTCCTCCTCCTCCTCCTTCTCCTCCTCCTCTTAGACTGTTGGTCCCGCAGGATTGCCCAGGTCGCGCCTGGGAGCTCCCAGCAAGTAGGGCCATGCTCACTGGCCTCACCACTCAGACAGGTGAGCAGGACGAGGAGACAGCAGCTGCCCAGGTCTTGTCTTGTCTTGCCTCCCTCTCCTTTCTCCGCCATGCTCTCGGGAGCGACCTGCGAAGTGCTCGACCCCCTCCGAGGAGGAGCGAGCGGCTGTCTGACACGGGTGCTCCGGCTGAGCCTGCCCTGCCGTCTCGGGGCCGCAGGCCGCTTCGCGAGGAGGGCCGAGCGCGGTGCCGAGGAGCGGTCCTCTGAAGGCTCGGACGGACCTGCATCCCCGGAGCTCCGAAGCTCCAAGAACAAAAAGTTGGAGCGGCGGGATTCTGGCAGTTTTCGGCCTCCGGGGGCCCTCGCCGGGCCTCGCGGAGCGTCGAAAAGCGATGCAGGACGAAGAGCCAGCCCCCGGGAAGTGGTCCAGACCTCCGGGGCCCACGCATCGAAAAGATTGGAGCAGCCAGATGTCTGGGTCTGACGGGTAAACCAGTCCGCCTTCGATTTCAAACTTGATTTGAGGCTCGGGTTCAGGGCGCCTGTCAAAAAAAAACGCTCCTGCCTCCTCCATCTCCCTTTTCCGCCGTCACCTGCTCCAACACCCTGTTCACCCTCTCTTATGCAAGCCGCAGGCGCCACAAGAGCGAGGCGCGAGCTATCCTGTTAATCCTGCTGCTAGCTCCTCCTCCTCCTCCTCCTCCTCCTCCTCCTCCTCCTCCTCCTCCTTCTCCTTCTCCTCTTATTCCTCCTGCCACTCCTCCTGCCACTCCTCCTGTTCCTTCTCCTCCTCCTCCTCCTCCTTCTCATCCTCCTCCTCCTCCCTTCCTCCCAGTTGTCCTCCTTCCCTTCTCTTCCCCCATCATCTCTCCTCCTCGTTCTCTTCTTCTGGCCTCATGTTTCCTCCTCCTCCCCCCTCCTCCTCCTCCTCCTCCTCCTCCTCCTCCTCCTCATCATCATCTCATCATCTCCTCATCCTCATCCTCATCATCCTCATCATCATCCTCATCCTTCCTCCCTCCCCTCCTCCTCCTCCTCCTCCTCCTCCTTCTCCTCGTGTTCACCCTCTCTCCTCCCTCTCCGCTTGGAACACCAGGAGTCCTTCGGAGACCACACCTCGCTCCCCGCCGACACCAAGAGCAGCCTGCAGAACTTCGTCGGCCGCCCAGAGACCGCGCGCGGCGTGGGCAAACCTCTCCCGCCCTCCTGTCCCCCCACCTCCCATTCTCGTCCCCCCATTCCCTCACTCTTCCCTTACTCCATCTCGCCTCTTCTTCTTCTTCTTCTTCTTCTTCTGCCTCCCCCCCCCCCCTTTGCTCCCCTCCTCCTCCCCCGTTCCCCCTTTCTCCTCCCCATGCCCTCCCCCCTGGCCCTGCCCATCCCTCACACCCCTTCTTGTTGCCCGCGGATGTGCTGGCCTAGGCGAGCGAGGAGGAGAACGAGGAGGGATCGTCAGGAGGAGGAGGAATGAGGAGAAGGACAGGTGGGGCCTGCGGAGACTGGTGGCGGATCCTCTCGTTTTCCGTGCCCTCCCACATCTTGGCATCGCTCGGACGCGTGCATTTTTCCTTCGGCGAGGACCACCGAGGAGCATCCTTGATCACTTGGCGGAAAAGCCGCGCACGAGGTCGAAAACAGCACAGGGAGTGGACGGCCGAGCGATGGCGAGACATCGCTCCCTCCTCGCAGGAGTCCGTGCGCCGCCTCGTAAGTCTGCTGGCGGCCCTCGTGCAGCCGGGGCCCTGAGGAAGGATCCCTGTTCGTTGGGAAGGGGCTCGGTGTTCCTTGACTGTTCTGCAGTCTGCCGCGGGTGTTCCCGAGGTCTCCCATGGGAAACCGAGGCCTAACTTCTGGGAAACAGAGGGGCCCCGCTCCTTAATTATCTAGGGTCCCCTGGGTCCGCGCCCCGACTCTAGCTCCGCTTGCCTGGCCCCCGCGGCTCCGCCCTCCCTCGGGTAGAGTGGACGGCCGAGCGGATGGGCGAGGCGCCGCCTCCCTCCCCGCGGGAGTCCGCGCGCCGCCTCGCCACTCGGCCGGCGGCCCTCCCAGCCCCCCGACGCCGTGATTTTTTCACGACGTCGACCCCCAGAGGTCTGGACCCCTTCCCCGGGACCGGTTCTTCGTCCCGAGTCGTTTTTTGACGCTCCCGAGGCCCGGTGAGGGCC